CACACCAAGGCACATAATCATCAAATTGACAAAAATTAAGGATAAGGAGAAAATATTAAAATTAGCAAGAGAAAAGCAACAAATAACAAACAAGGGAACTCCCATAAGGTTATCAGCTGATTTTTCAGCAGAAACTCTACAGGCCAGAAGGGATGGCATGATATATTTAAAGCGATGCAATGGGGAAACTTACAACCAAGAATACTCTATTCAGCAAGGCTATTGTTCAGACTTGATGGAGAAATCAAAAGCGTCACAGATAAACAAAAGCTAAAAGAATTCAGCATCACCAAATCAGCTTTACAACAAGTTAAAGGACCTTCTCTAGTCATGAAAACCATAAGAGAACAAAAAGAATAAAGAAAGAAAAATAGAACTACAAAAGATTGCTTAGGCAGTTTGGGGTCTTGTATGGTTCCATGTAAATTTTGGAATTGTTGTTCTAGTTCTGTGAAGAACGTCATGAGTATTTTAACGTAGATTGCTTTGCATAGAACGGCCATTTTGATAATGTTAATTCTTCTAATTCAAGAGCACAAGATATCTTTCCATTTCTCTGTATCATCTTCAATTTCTTTCATCAATGTTTTACAGTTTTCAGAGTATAAGTAACCTCCTTGGTTAAGTTTATTTCTAGGTATTTTGTTCCTTTTGATGCAAAGGAAATGTTTATGCCAGTTATAAAATTCTGGTTTTTGAAGTGAAAAAAAATGAATGAAAGGCCGCAAATGGCAAAATATCCCTCTTTCTTATGGGTGAGTTGTATTCTATTACATATATATATGCTGCATCTTCTTTAACCATTCATCTTTTGATGTGCACTTAGGATGCTTCTGTATCTTGGCAGTTATAAATAACGTTGCTGTTAATAGCAGGGTGTATGTATCTTTTTGAATTAATTTTTATTTTGTGGTTGGCTTTATTCCTTTGATAACTGTGTAAGTTTAAAAAGCTAAAGCTCTAAACGTTCTTAGAAACAGTGAACAGTATATATATGTAAATTTAAAAAATATGTGCAGTGTATTGTGTGTATGTATTTACATGCAATACATTGTTTATGTGCAGTCAAACTGTAACAATTGTACCTAATAAAACTGAAAAATGGAAAAAAGCTAATAATATGCAAAAAAAGATGCCATCTACAAATAAAGATTTCTATTAAAAATAATTGTCATTGTCTTCCTTTGTTAGTCTTCTACAACATAGAGCTGTATCTCTGAATTATATTATTAAAATTTATATAAATGGTATCAAACTATTACTATTTGATAGCTTGATTTTCATTAAAGATTATGTTTTTGATATTTATCCAAGTTGCATGTATTGCTATATAGCTCATTCATTTCTCCTACTGATTTTGTTATCACAATTGAGTTTTGAACATTCTTAAGATGTCTCCAGTGCTTAATCTAAGGCAGAATTTCTAGGATATACTGCCTCCCCATCATCTTCAACTTTAAAAGTTAATGCCAAAATGTTCTTCAAAACGGTTATGCCAGTTTATGTTATCGGGAATAGTAAGTTACTTTTGTTCCACCTCCTTACCAGTACTGCATATTGTCTGATTCCTATCACTAGTCTTTTCACGTTCCTTCGGTTTTCTCTAGGCACTGCAGTGAAATTAATATTACATAATAGAACTTTTTCATCTGCTCAAAAATTTTCAAAAATTCTTTACTATCTCCTGACTAAATCATAAATCAGGCTTTTAAATCCTTTACAATCCTTCCAAACCCACCTTGCCAAACTTATACTATGCTCCCCTGTAAACCTTGTCTTAATTAAATTGGTTTACACTTCACTGCCTCTACTCTTCTACTCATGGCATTCCAATTTCTTCTCTCTCACCTCTACATGTTCAAATCCTACTGTTCCTTAAATTCCAATTCAAAAGCTATTTTTTCCTAAGAAAGACACAGCTAATCTCTGTTCCTGTGAGTTAGCTTTTTTGGACTTACCACTTTCCTCCTGTACAAAAACAATTATCTCTTAAATGCATGCTGTGTGTAACACATTCTGTTAAACATTTTAAATCATAATTGCTAATTTTCCTAATAACAGTACATGAAAGGCAGGTAATTTCATCCCAATGTAACACAGCTGATAAGCTGCAGAGTTATATTTTGTGTTAATAGGTTTGTTTGATTTCAAAGACTGTCCTCCTCCTACTAAACTCTAGTCATTTTGGTTTTATTATATCATTAATATTACTTAAAATTTAACTGAACTTACGTGTACCCAACTTTGCTCTACAAAGGATTTGAGATACCTAATTATTTGCTCAAGTATATACTAATATCTTTCTTCCTATCCTACAATATATGAGATGGTTTAAAAAATAAGAAGATATGAACCGCAAAGGGAAAAATAATAATCAGTGAAAAAAGAGGTAACAAATATACTAACTATAAATGCTACCATGGTTGCTTGGACTGTACATAAAATTTGGCAGTCAGTCAAGGTAAGACAGGAAAACTCCAAATTTAACTCAATGCCAGAAAGAAGTTCACGTGTACCTCAGGGCATGCAAGGATTTCTCACTACTAAGTTGAAAATACATGAGAATAATAAGTTGATAATTCATGTGGTATAGTGTTTTTATAAAGCAATCTTATTGCTGCATTAGAGTAAAAAGTTCTTAAGAGTCTGGATTCTCTTGTGTCTTATATAACACAATACGGTAGATGTTTAATTTTTTGAATGATTGAATTTATCAGAGGAAAACAAAGAGATAATATCCATTAAAGAGAGTAATAGGATGGGAAATGGGCTTTTGAATTTGGAATGATCACTGTAGAAATTTATTAAAGTCAGAAAGAGATGATAGAAATGAAGATATGGCAAAAGTTACATGGCACTGATTTTCAGAAGAAAACATGAGCACTGTTTTTAAAAAAAAATATTGTCTAGCAATACCAATTAATACCAAAATTAAATTACAAGTGAGAGCCAATGCTGTGTACTGGCGAGAAGGTTACACCGGAAAATCAAGAAAGTAAGGGAAAGCGTTCATGTAATTGTTTACCGCAAGCTCCCAGCTGGGAGAACAGTTATTGATGGACTGGAGGTCAATATAAGGTAAAGAACAGGTTCATAACTTAAGAGGAAGTAAAAGAAAAGACTGGTGGTGTGGTGAGAAAAATGAATGCAGACTTAAAAATCTCTACATGATGACATCTTTTCTTTGTTTTTTTCCAAACAATATTTTTAAAATGTGAATACCATTCTTAGCATGTGAGCCTTACAAAAATAGACTACTGCCAAAGTTCGCAACCATGGTCTGCAGGATAAAATTCTAATTTCTTAGTTTCATATTAAAAAGATCTCTGTAATCTAGATTCAATCTATTTCTCTAGTCATGTTATCCCACACTCACTTAAGTCTATACTTAGATACAGAATTTTCCTGTTTCCTGGTTATTCAGTCTAAGGCCTTTCATAGCTCTGGGCCATGGCTCTTGCAGTTCCCTTAGATTTCTCCATTTCTCAAAATCCAACCCAAATGTCGCTTCCTTATATATCTTTCCCAATTCACCCAAGGAGTAACCTTTTCCATTCAAAATCTCTTTTTTAGTGTCCATCTCTCTCTTAAAGCCTTCATCATGCTGAATGATACTCTCTTTACAGGTCTACGTCCTCTTATCCCCACTACTCTGAGGGTCTAAAGCAAGAACAGTCTTACCCATCTTGGTATTCCCACTCCCTACACTGGTGCCTAAAAATATACCCAGCATATAGAACATGCTCAATAAATATGCATCAATTAATTAAGTACCTCATACTTTTTAATATAAATATCTATGTGTAATGATGACTAAGACTGTAACTTTATACAATCATAACTGGATTTCACTGCTTATGTTTTTTAAAAAAAGAAAAATAATTTCACTGTGATTTTAAGAGAATTTTCTATTTTACATGCCTGGTTGTGCTCATGAGCTGTGCAATTATCTGTTCCATTATATTCTGTAAGCTGTTCTCTTCTTTTTTCTCTAATAAGAATTTTATGAACATCATCTTCCAGTCTATTGAAGAATCCTCCATCATGTGATAAAGTCTGAGAAGAACTCAATTCCTGTCAAAAATGAATTAAGATTTACTATCAATCAACACAAAAGTGCATGCATTTAATAAACCTGGTCAGCTCCTAGAAGGATAGAGAATGAAAGAAAAATGATAACTAAGAGATAACCAACCATCTGATTTTTCTCTATCTCCAGAAGATAACCAATAGAGACACATTTGCAGATGTCTTTTTCTTACTACATATTTTTTGAGTTGGGTACTGCTTAATTTTAAAATTATATTTTTACCCATTTACCAAAAAATTTACTCATTTAATTTGCACAGTTCAATTTTAATATATTCACAGACTTGTGCAACCATAACCCTTTCATAAAGTTTCATCAGACCAAAAATAAACCCAGAATCCCCCCCTTCCTTCCTAAAACCTCCCCAGTTGTTCCCTTGGCAACACTAATCTACTTTCTATCTGTATAGATTTGGCTATTCTGGACATCTAATATAAATGGAATCATACAATATATGGTCTTTTGTGACTAACTTCTTTCACTTAGCAAAATGTTTTCAAGGTTCATCCATATCATAGCACCTATCAGCACTTCATTCTTTACTGGCAAATAATATCCCATTGATGGATACACATTTTATTTCTCCATTCATCGGCTGATGGACATTTGGGTTGTTTCTATTTTTTGACTGTTATGAATAAAGCTGCTACAAACATTCATGTCCAGGTTTTTGCGTAGACATGCTTTCAGTTCTCTCGGGTATATACCTGGAAGTAGAATTGCTGGGACATATGGTAACGCTATGTGTAACCCTTTGAAAAATTGCCTGACGGTTTTCCAAAGCAACCATACTGTTTTACAGTCCTATCAACGTATTGATGTATGAGGGTTCTGATTTCTCCATATTCTCACACTTAATATGTATCTTTTTTGATTATGGCCACCCTTGTGGGTATGAAGTGGTGTTTCACTGTGATTTTGAATTGCATTTCCCTGATGGCTAATTGTGCTGAGCATCTTTTCATGTGCTTATAGGACATTTGTGATCTTTTCAGAAAAATGTTTACTCAGATCCTTTGCCCAATTTTTAACTGAGTTACTTTTTATTTCTAAATTGTAGGAGTTCTTTATATACTCTAGATACAAGTCTTTTAGCAGATATATGATTTGTAAATATTTTCTCCCATTCCGTGGGTTGTCTTCACATTCTTGATAGTGTCCTCTGCATCACAAAAGTTTTTAATTTTGATGACGTTCAGTTTATCCAAGAAACCACTGCCTAATTCAGGGTCACAAAGACTTATTCATATATATTCTTCTAAGAGCTTTATAGTTTTAGCTCTTACAAATTTAGGTTTGTAATCCATTTTGAGTTATTTTTTGTGTATAGTGTAAAGAAAGGGTCCAAATTCATTCTTCTGCATGTGGGTATCCAGCATCACTTGTTAAGAAGACTATTCATTTCCCAATGAATTTTCTTGGCACCCTTGTCCAAAATCAACTGAACACATGTTGAAGGGTTTCTTTCTGAACTCTTTATTCTGTCAACCTTTATATCTATCCCTATGCCATACCACACTGTCTTAACTACAGAAGACTTGTATTGCCCAATCTTTTATAATATATTTAAAAATAACGTTTACATAAATTCTACACACCAGTGATAAAAAGATAAAAATCTCTTTTTATCACAGTCTACTCAATTATATAAAATTAGAGATTTTATAGCTCTCCATGAGAAGCATCATTTCCTTTCTAACTTCCTGTTATAAGACAGAGACTGAAAAAAGTGTTCCTCTCACTCCCATTGGTTTTACCTATGTCCCACATTCGTGAGCTTTAACAGTCCCAGTTTTATCCATTTCAAATGTATTTGTGAGCAAATGACCCAACAGTTCAATGACTGTTCATCCTTTTCTTAACATCATCTTAAAGTATTTGAAAGAAAAATAAAATTATTTATCAGCGCTTAATATATAACAACATTTAAAATGTACAGCACTTTATAGTTTGCAAAGTTCTTACAGAAACATCCCTTTATTTGAATCTCATCAGCACCATAAGAAATTGAAAGAGCAAGAATAATTTCCCCACAAAGTAACCATGGCCACAGGAAAGTGACATAACTTGCCCATGAGTCATTGTATTGTTAAGTGGTACAGATGTAACTCTAAGTCTACTGCTTTATAAGATACTTCTGGTATCTTGTACGATTTCATTTTAAGCAATAAATACAGCAATGCTTAAAACACTGCTGAGCTTCTATGGAAGGTATAGCATGATAATGGCAACTAATCAGCCTCTGGATTTCACTTCCTTAAAGACTGCAGTACTAGCCAATGTCCTGTTTTTTGATGGCTGCTACCAATACTAGCACACCTACCCCAAAGGGTACTCTGTCCTTGATTTTTTTAAGGCATACAATTTCTTTCCAGCCTAAGAAGAGAAAACACTTCATAACTCATTTTATGAGGCCAGCATAATCCTGATATCCAAGCTAGACAAAGACACTACAAGAAAACTTAACAATTTATCCTGCCCCCTTTTTTGCTAGGTATTTTAAAGTACTGACATGACATTTCATCTCAAAATTCACATGCAACTAGCTACAAAAAAATTTTTTTTCTGATTTAACCATAATGTCAGCACATCTAACAAAAATATTCCTTCATATCATCTTATGCCTAGTTTATATTTAAATTTCTTCAATTGTATAAAAATATCTTCTATTGCTAATCTAATTAGGGTCTAAACATTACATTGGCCATTTCTTAAATCTTCTATAATCTAGAACATCCCCTCCCCACACTCCACTTTTTCTTCTCCAGAATACTTTCCTGTTGAGGAGATCAGGCCAGTTGTTCTACAAAATATGCATCTTCTAGGTTTGCCTGTTGCTTCCACTAGGTATCTAATCCCTATATTTCCTGTAAAATGGAAGTCAGATCTTCCGACTTGATGTATATATAGCTTAAAGATTTTTGGCAGGAGTAGTTTGCTTGATTTTAAGTTTTGTTAAATTAGTATCACTCTGATAAAGTCTTCTAAGACTTTTTCACTCAACATTCTCTTTTGGATTGATCCATTTTGTTGCCTAGAGTTATATAATCATTTTCATTACTGTATAAACCATTGTGATTATAATTAAAATTTATCCATTCTACTGAACATCTACATTTGGATTTTTTTCAAAGGTTTTTTTTTTTTTTGGCCTGGGCTATTACACATTTATAAACATTCCTGTACACAGTTCTCAAGATACATGGGCAAGTTTCTCTAGGGCATGTATCCCTAATAAGAGAACTGACAAGTCTTAAGTTATATCAGTTGTCAGCAAACTATGGCCCGAAAGGGGCCTGCTGCAGTTTTTTGTAAATAAAGTTTTACTGGAACACATCCATGCTTACTCATTTATCTACTGCCTGTGGCTATTTCTGTACTACATGGCAGAGTTCAGGAGCTTTGACAGAGATCTGATATGCCCCGAAGTCTGAAATATTTGCTACCTGGCCCTTTACAGAAAATTTTTACTGACTCCTGGGTTAAAATGTATATTCAACTTTCCAAGAACACCAAACTTATAGAAAATATTTGTAGCAATTTACATTCCGACTAATCCATAACTCCACTGATCTGTAACATCTGAATCCTGGTATTTTCTAACTTCCTAATTTTTGACTACCTGTTGAGTAGGGAAAAAACAGTATCTCAGTGTGGTCTTAACTTGCATTTCTCCAACAGTAGCAAAGTTAGACATTTTTTTCATGTCTTTAGCTATTCATATTTCCCGGTTTTGTAAAATGCCTGATGTTTCTTAGCTATTTTTTAAAATTTCTAAATTATGAGAAAGAAAGAAAACAAGACAGCAATCTCTTTTTTAACCATGTGATAGTTCTTTCTGTATCTGGACACTAATCCAGTTCTATGTTTTGAAAATAGGTTCTCTCAATTTGTGCCTTGTCTTCTAAATTTCTTTTTAGTATTTTTGTGGAAAATAAGTTATTTATTTTGAATGGCATCTAATTTATCCACTTTTCATTTTATAGTGTTTTTGTTGTTTTTCCCTACCCCAGGCCAGAAATACATTCTCCTATATTTTACACTTCTAAAGGTGGTAAAATTTGTCTTTCACATACAAGTATTTATCTATGTAGAACAGATTTTAAAGCATGACAGAAGGTGGAGATCCAATTTGATTTTTTTCTTAATATAACTAACAGCTGTCCCTTGCTTTTTCATACATAAACCATTATGATGTGATGTACAGATTGCAACATTAGGACAGGAATAAATCAACCAATGGATCAGAATACAGGCATACCTCATTTTATTGTGACTTGCTTTATTGTGCTCCATAAATAATTATGTTTTTGACAAATCAAAGGTTTCTAGCAACTTTCTGTGGTTGGATGATGGTTAGCATTTTTTTTTAGCAATAAAGATTAAGGTATGAACATTTCTAATATATAATGCTCATGCACACTTAACAAAACTACACTATAGTGTAAACATAACTTTTATATGCACTAGGAAACCAAAAATTCATGTGACTCATTTTACTGCAGTATTTGTTTTATTGCAGTGGTCTGGAACTGAACTAGCATTATCTCCTAGGTATGAGTGTAATTTTCAGTATACAGGTCTTTAACCTCTTTGGTTAAATGTATTCCTAGGTATTATATTTTTCTGATGCAACTGCAAATGGAACTGTTTTCTTAATTTCTCTTTCTGATGGTTATCAGTGTACAGAAATGCAAGAGATTTCAGTATATTGGTTTTGTATCCTGCATCTTCACTGAATTCATTTATTAGCTTCAACAGGTTTTTAGTGAAGTCTTTAGTTAACCCTTGAGCAATCGAGTTTGAACTATGTGGGACCACTTATACGTGAATTTTTTTCAATAATAAATACTCCAGTACTATATGATCTGTAGGTGGTTGAATCTGTGGATATGGAACTCCAGATACAGAGGAACCTCTAATATGGAGGAACCCCATATACAAACGGCCAAATACAAATTACACATGACTTTTCTGACTGTGC